GCAATGATGCTGACGAGTGAAGTTAGCAGCATAGTTGATTAACAAGAAAAGCTTTATGCTAAGAAGTCGCAGTGCTCACATAAGAAAGCTTTTAAGCAATATGGAAACTACTGTTCTAATAATCTCATAGAGATTTATCTTTAGATTAGTTTCTGTATTAGTATGCAAGGAGCTGTTGCTCAATACTTGCCATGTACTTAATTAGGAGTAATCTGCTTGATAAGAAGCACTCATGTAATCTCCAACAACACAAATTCAATTTTGAATTAGTTGTTCCTCAAGTGATCTTGTGAAGATCAGAATACTTGAGATGACAAGTGACATTTGTCATATGTGGTATCCTAATAGGAGATCTTTTGTGATTGGATTCTATTAGGTGTCAATGAACGTTATATCCTAAGGGATCCCTGAACGTATCACTGTCCATTTGCTAGTCACCTGCAGTTAGCTTGTGCAACTGTAATCAATTTGGTTATAATGGATTAAGTCCTTGCTTGAGTGAGACGAAATCACCTTGGAAGGGTGGACTGGATTAGCTTGAGTGTTGCTCAAGTGAACCAGGATATATCATGTGTTCTTTACTTGTGTTATGCTTTATTATTTATGCTTCCACAATGCATCTTATAGAACTCTATAGAAAGCAACAAGTGAAAGAAACCAAGAAAAAGTTTTAATAGAGTGAATACTCAATTCAAACCCCCCTTTCTTGTGTATTTTTCACACCTTCACGTAGAACCCTAAGCATCATCATCATCAATCATCCAATCGTGCCTGTGAACGACAAAATAAAGCGGCGGAGAACCACATCACGAAAATCCATCAGAGATCATCACGAAACCATCCTCGGTCTCAAAATCCTCACAAAAGCCTCAACAATCTCGTGGCTCAGAATATCATCATCATCGCCGTAAAAACTGTCAAAAGTCATCGAAAGGGTAAGTCACTCTAACAATGTTTGCTTTTTTAGATGAACAGAAGAATTAGAAGAAGAAAAGGGATAAAAGACGAGGCGGAAATACACTTGATAGAGAAAAAAAAATCTTCAAATAGCCCTATGGGAGGGATCCGCCGCGACCAAGAGGAAGATAGGGTTTCAAACCCTAATTTTTGGGTCCCCCCTTTTTATCGTTTCAACCGGGCCGGGTCTGGGGGTAATGACCCAGCTTGACCCAATGCTTTGTCTTTACTTCTTCTTATTGTTTTTTTCTAACAGTTTTTTAGAATTTTTTTAATTAACTTTTATTTGTTTGTTAATATTAAAATTAACGTTTAATCCTTTTTAAAAAAAACCTAATTATTCTTAAAATTTCAAACAATTATTTTAAAACTAACACTTTAAAAAAAAATTTAATCTAACGTTTTTACAATTAAAATGAACCTTTTTAAATAAAATCTCCTTTTTAAATTAACACCACTTTGCCTTAAAAATTAAAATTAAAACTCATTTCATTTTTATTTTTAAACTTTAACTTTTTTAAAATAAAAATCTAATCTTTTCTAATCAAATAATTAACCTTTTAATTAAATCCCTAACATTTAATTTAAAGCTCTAATATTATTCCACTAAAAAAAATTTCTAACATTTTTTGCCCCTTAATTTCTAACTTGTAATTTAATCCTAACCTATAAATTCTAAAATAAATAGCTAAAATTCCTAACATTCCCGTTTAATTTTCATTTTGCTAACTTTTATTTCATTCCTAACATTATTTCTCATTTGTCCATGTTTACTATGGTTGTAAATTATGCGAGGACATCGTCGCTGCTTATTTTGTTATCATTCTTGCACCTTTTCCCATAATTTCAATACCGTTGATTGATATTTTTCTTCATTATATTTATTTACCGTCAATTTCCCTCCGAAGGATAGGTCTAGCCGTTTGACCGCTGCGTCAATAGCCCTTAACCCTTGACTCTTTCACCTTTCAAACCCTAATTACTTAGGCGTCCCACCATGGACAAGTTTGCCGTTTTACCCTAGCATTAGGATAAGGAGTCGCCACACTCCATATTAGGTTTCCCGCCGTGGAATACCTATTTTACCTTTTTTAATTCAATTTAATTACAACGTAGAAATAGGAGTCGCTGCACTCCACGTAAGCGCTTCCTTATGAACGTTTGCATCCCCATTGAAACCTTGACCACCGTCAAGAAGTTTCTCTTCCTCCCTTTCGAGGGAAACTACGATTACTCTGATTCCATCCCCTACCTCGGATACGTATGCACAAGATGCGAGTCTTGGCGAGTAAACTTAGGACTAACCCTTAGGTCTTTTTCTTTAACTTTTAACCCTTAGCATAACCCTTAAGCAGATAACTATAGCAATATTAGCATTTAAAACAAGAGGTTCCTGTAGAGTACTACAGAAGTTTAGGGTGCTAATACCTTCCCTAAGCTTAACCAACCCCCGAACCCTAGATCTTTCCTCGCATTGTGTTTACGATGCAAAAATAGGTTTTTCCTTTCTTTAACCTTTCCTTCGAATAAATCAAAGACCGGTTGTGAATCAAAGATTTGTGATTCAAATTAATCAATAATTTGATATCCTATTCTCATCGCAACAAGAACAATCTGAAGACTCATGACATGACACCTATACTAGTGCAGAGGTGTCTCATGACATGCCAAAAGTTAGCATAACAAGAAAATTTATGCAATAAAACCACCACCACCTTTTCCTCAAAGAATTAGAAAGGCCAAAGAAGAGGAACAATTTGGTAAATTTATGGAGATACTCAAAGAACTTGACATCAACATACCATTGATTGAAGCCATATAAAAAATTTCAAATTAATCTAAGTTCATGAAGGATGTGTTGACAAAAAGGAAAAGAGTTTGAGAGTTTATCACTGTGACATTAACTAAAGACTGTAACCAATTTGTTTAAGAGAAGCTGCCCCAAATTCGAAAGACTCAAGAAGCTTCATTGTCCCTTGAAACATAAGATAAACATTTTGTGGAAGATCCTTGTGTGATATAAGGGCAAATATTAATCTCATGCCTTTATCCATCTTCAAAAAGCTTGGAATTGAAGGTGAAAGATCTACAACCATCACACTTTGGAAAGATTTATCTCTATTAATTTCTCTCTTCTAACATAAACTATTCTAAAATCAAATATTTTTATAAAATAATTTTTGAAATTCAAATATCACAATTCACTCATCATCATGTGTTTGGAGTCACTTTGTCAACAAAAAGCTCTTGAGATCACTCTCCGCCTCCATTTGGCCAAAAGAGCCAAGTTAACCAAACTAAGATCTATAATCCCCAAGCCACCTTTCCTCTTTAGTTTACACACATCAACCCACTTAACCCCAAAAATATTAAAATGTCCCTTCACACTTCCACAATGAAACCGTCTTTAGATTCTAACTATTTTCTCCAAACCTTCACAAACATTTTCAAAATAGACAAGAAAAAGATAGGAATAACACTAAGTACAAACTTAAAAAGAATCATTCTTCCCTAAGCTAACAAACTTATGTTTCCTTAAATGAAGCCTCTTAGAGATCAAAGAAACTAGCGGATCTCAAGTAGTTTCAAGGACAAGGTTAGCCCCCATAGGAAACGGATCTCAAGTAGTTTCAAGGACAAGGTTAGCCCCCATAGGAAACCCTATGTATTTGAAAGGAAGGAACTCTAGATTATAATAGAGAAAATTACTAGTTGAATTCAAAAAGATAAAATCTTAATTATCTCAATTAAATTCCTTTTTAAAAAATTGACTTGAAGGCCCGGAACTTGCTTAAACCCCCTAAGAACAACCTTAATATTCCACATATTTTTAACTGAAGGATCAAATAAAGATAAGAATATCATTCACAGACTGAAGACGAGGAAACCACCAAATTAGAGGATCACACTTTATATTTGAAAAAATATTCAACTTAACAATCCTATTAACAAAAAAACACTATTCCGTTATATCAGAAATAGGATAATGAAAGGAGTTATGAGATTATCTTATTTCAATCTTTTTTATATATTTATCTCTTATGTTGGACAACCATTCACCAACACTGCAAGATTACCAACAAACACTTATGCTTGCACTTAGAATCTTCACTTACTATTAAACTCTATGTACATTATTGGTATACCCTATTACATAATGCCCTTGTTTTGACGCCTCTTAGTCCTATTTATAATTTTTTTGATGTATTTTATTCTCTAATTGAGGAAATATTCTATTAGCGAATGAGTTCATTTTGATGCTAAATAGGATTCTCATCCACTAGACACTCGCTAATCGAAGAACTTTTAACTAACAATTTGTCTTTCTTCTTCTGATTTTAGTAATCGATATGAATTTTTTTAACGAATTATTTCTATTTTCCTTGATCAATATTTAAGAGTTCAACTAGAAATAAATATAAAACTTAGTTCAATTAAAAATCAAACATCTATTTATTTTCTTGATACAAAAAAGGCCAAGTCAAATACTTAGTTTGTCTTTCATTATCGCACAATATTTAAATTTGCACCGTCCCATACCATCTTACCTTTTGTCAAATACTTCTTAAATTTAGATTGCTTTACCAATAGAAAATATAGATTGCACATTCCCCACCCATTTATTGAGTTGCAATACACTCAAAAACAGCATAGATCTTTCCTTACACCCAATCATCTCTTTTTATTCATTTTCTCAAGTGCATCTAGAATATTTCACAATAATAATAATTAGCACTATAATACTCCATAAAAGATTTGACATTTCACATTATAATAATCATACAATATTTTTCTTTATTTCTAAGGAAACATTCATTGGTAAAAGCACTATTGATTACTACTTGTAAATAATATTCTTCACTCTACTCATTAGAGATTATAACATCAAAACTTTACTCTAAACTCTCATTTTTCATATGAAAAGAGCAATTCACAAACATTTCTCATCTCACACTCTAACCCTTTTCTATCTTAAGAGTTTATTCATTCCTCCATATCTTAATATTCATGCTCCATGCTTCCACTTTTTTTCCTCCTTCATCATGGCCTTCAAAATTTCTCAATTAATTCACATTCTTCTTTGGCTATCTCTTCTATTTTTGCTCTTTCATGAGTATTATAATCTCAAATACTCAAAGATCAACAAGAAATATATCATACAAGCAAGTCATCATTCATTATCTTCTCATCACAGCAGAAAAGTTCTAGCAAGAAAATTTCATTTCTCTACTCTCTTTAAACATCGTCATCAACAAGTGGAGAAAGATCCTTCCAGCACCGAGATTGATCCTCGTTATGGCGTCGAGAAACGCCGTGTGCCAACCGGTCCAAACCCGTTACACCATTGAAATGATTTAATTCTCAAATTTTTTGTCGTAATCTTTGGATTTTCGGAGAAGGCCCGGTAATGATGCTTCATATTTCATAGTTCTAAATTAAGTTTTATTTTTTTATTTTAATTTGTTTTGTTAACTTTCATTGTTTGGTTATTGATATGAATGAAGCCAGAAACCAGAATAGACCATAATCAAATAGTGTAGCATTAGTATATACTATTGCATGTCACATTGAGATATTGTATAGAAAGTGAAATAGTAGAGTATATTTTTTCTTGTTTTTAGAGCATTTAATTTTAATTAGGTGATTATCATGATTTGGTTATTTCGTTAATGTAAAGATTCATTAAAGTGAACAAGAAACTACCAATGATTTGGTTATTTCTAAAGATTTGGTTATATTTTTCTATAATGCGTTGGTGAGTGATTTCAAAGAAACATAACTGAGACGGCACGGTATACATTTAGAAAATTTTAGTTGGAGCATAATAATTAAAAATATATGATGAGTTTTGAAGATTGGCTTTGAAGATTAATAAAATACATTTTTTTCATTCAGGTGATCATAATATCTAGTTGTTTATATATATATATATATATATATATATATATATATATATATATATATATATATATATATATATATATATATATATATATATATATATATATATATATATATATATATATATATATATATATATATATATATATATATATATATATATATATATATATATATATATATATATATATATATATATATATATATATATATATATATATATATATATATATATATATATATATATATATATATATATATATATATATATATATATTTCAAAACTGAATTAATCCAATAGAAAACCGTAAAACAATTCCTAAGTCGAAACTGCAACAAAACGCATTTAGTTCATATGTGTTTAGTGATTTTTTTAACAAAACCGCGCAGTTTGGTTTGATTTGCGGTTTTGTATTTTGAAAACCAAACTGAACTATATTATGTTACAACTTAAACTTCACTTATTCCATATCCAACCCAAAAACACAAACCTATTATGCTTTAACGATACAAATATTTTCTTACTCACGCTTAAGATTTTAGTTTTAACCTTTTCAAATCTCTCATAATAGTATCTCGCATTCTTGTCATCTTCTTTTCCATGTACATCTCACCTCTTCTACACTAACCTCTCCTCTCTTATATTCTTTTTTTTTTTTTCATCTTCTCATTTTTATGTTATTCTTTTCTCTTCCAATTACGTTTTTATCGCGCATTTCTTCTCTAATGTCACATCTATAATGTTCTTTCTTTTTCATCTTCTCTAATCTCTCATCTCCTTTGTTTTATCTTTTTTATTATAATATTTTTGATATTATTTTATGCTACTATGACATGTTTTTTATTCCACTTTTCTTTAATCTTATTTTTGTATATTGAATGAGAGATTTTTTTTTCTAAATATGATAAGTTTTGTGAATTGTTTTTTAAAATAACCTGTATTTTTAAATAAAATACCAAATAAACCATATTTTGAAATTATTGACCAAAATAATCATGTTTCAGAGGGAGTCAAAGAGGATACGCCAAATGAAATACTGCATGCCCCTATTTTTAAACTCATGTGTCATTTGAATTGGCTTGTGCATTTGAGTCAAGCCATATGAAATGACGCCTCCACTTTCTCTCATAACTCATGCGCCATTTCATGCCACATCCTTTTTTTAAATCATGTTTGTATGCGCCATTTCATATGGCTACTACACTATACCATCTTCCTTTAAATACTACACCACCTTCTCTTCATTCCTCGCAATTTTCTCATTCCATTTCTTATAATCTCCTTCCATTTTTCTTTCAAAATGACTCCCTCTTCTTCCTCTTCATATCTTTATAAGGTTCCATATATCCACAAGAGAAATGTGGATTTAATTTTCTCGCCATTCAAACCCCCGATGAAGATCCGCCTCTAGAATATACTGAAGTTCGAACATCTTAACAGGAGGCTGAACCGTTGGCTAGATGTAGACATTCAAGAGGGTGAAAAGATCATAAGAATTGAAAGGTTTGTTACCACGTTCAACTAAAATGGAGAAGTTAGTTTCTGGGAGAATGTTACAACTGATAGAGATGTTCAGATGTTGATGTATAGTTCTCAGAAAATTATCTTAATGGTTGTAATTGTATAGTTATATTGTTTAGTCGTTGTGTTTGTTTGTTTTGTTGTTTAATTGTTTAAATTATTGTTATTGAATGTTATGACATTTATGAAGTGAAAATTGTTGTTGATATAAAGAGAAAATGTTACATTTAAAATTATGTTGTTGTGTTTGGTTCAACATTGTGAGATTTTGTACGATTGTGCCCGGGCTAACAACATGAACTTCATAATCTCACCATTTTGTTTGGTGTATCCATTTCCGTTCGAATACGCGTGCTATTAGGGTGACCCTTTTTCTTTCTTTGCATAATTTTATTGTGCTAGACTATTTCCCCTTCATATGTTGGTCAATAGTCCTCTTTTGCTACCACCGAAAAGCTAGTAGTGTAGTCATTGCATATATTAATGACTTGGTAAACAACAGACAATAAGTTGGAAGGGTCCTAACGAGCCTTTGCACATGCTGTTAAGACATGGGAGCAAGGCATACAAAAGGCTTGAAACTTTCTGCAGTTGCACCAACTTCTATCTAGTTCCACTCGGTATGATCCCCCGACCTCCCTTCATTGTGATCCATTGACTAATCAACACTGAACCAACCTTTATTAAGGTCAAACACTATGACCACATGTGTGTTAGTTTTGGCAGCTTTCTCCTTAATGGATTTCATTGAACTATTACTAAACAACTGCCCACATTATAGACAAAACTCCATTTTGAACGTCTGATATCAAAAAGTGTCCTGAGTCTAAAATAGGGCTTTCTTACCAAAACAGTTATCGGTAGGTTTCAGATGCCTTTGAATATAGAGTTCATTGATTCCACGAGATTTGTTGTCATATGGCCCCATCGTTGTTCATTATCGTATGCCATGGTTCACTTCTCCAATTGAATATTGTCGGTCCACCTTAATGCATCTGCATTTGTCAATTTGATTTCTTCACGGTAGTGTTTGAAGGAAGGTTCTGTTAATGCATACCTTGCGTTCACGACCTTCTTCCGCAGTGTCTTGTCTTTGATCTCCCGCATGAAATTTTGAGTAATATGTCTAATGCAATACACATGCGTTGAAGGAGGATCTTGCCAGTTGTTATCAAGATTCTTATATGCACTCTCAATTGGTGCATGTCTGTCCAAAATCAAACATAAGTTAGGTTGAGGAGCCACGTGTAATCAGATATTTTTTATAGGAAAAAACTCCAACCCCCAGCAGTCCCCCCCTTCAACTAGAGCGAAGGCGATTGAAAAAATGTTGTTGTTGTTGTCATTTTGTACCACTGACATGAGTAGTGTTCCTTTATATTTCTCATATAACCACGTTTCATCAATTTGTATAATAGGTTTATAGTAGGCAAAATCTTTAATACATGGTTCAAACGCCCAAAAGAGTCGGTGAAATATGCCATTTCCATTAACATAAGTCTTGTTTGGGGTATATGCCGACAAGGTCTCCAAAATGGAAACAGTCATTAGAGCATATTGTTTAAGTGACACTAAATAATTTGGAAGTTCTTTGTACGACTCCTTCCAATTTTCAAACACTGTTTCAACTGCCTTAGTCCTAGCTATCCATGCTTTCCTATACGACGGAGTATAATTGTATCTTTGAATGATATGTGAGATTATGGTACTCACCTTCAACAACGGATTGTTGCTAATGACAAATAGAATTTCATTGCATATTAACTGAGAGCTAAGTTTGCGATGATCCTGCATCGGATAGGTGATTATACAAGTGTGCTTTGGACCCATAGACCCTATCTTCCAATAACCACTTCTCTTCCGGTAAGATGTTATCAATCAGAACGGGAAGAACTCATTACGATAATAGATCTTATACAGAGTCACATTCGTTCGATCGACCCTATAATCAGCTGATAATTCCATGTGATACTGTTTTATAGCTCGGACATAGTCTTCTTTTGTTCAAAAATTGTCTCTTTCTTTTAATACTCCTTGTGTTTGCATACATGGATTGTAAAAAATATCTAAAGATGGTTCATCTGCACCCAAGTTCAAGTTTGTCATGTGTTGAGGTGGACAATAAACATGACTAGCTGATAATGGGTCTTCCTCATAGTTGACAGTGGAATCATTTACCATTTCATCAACCAAGAGCTCAACTTCTTCTTCTTCTTCTTCAACGATATCGACTTCAGCTTATTCGTCATCAGATTCGCAAAATACTTGAGAAAGATTAACAAGTTGATACATTTGATGTTGATGTAGTATAATATAAATATCAATATCATTAAAACCAAAATACTCATGATTGAGAAACATATTATGAACATCTTCATCATCTCGAACCTTTAATTGGAAAAATTTGACTTGGTTGTCGGCAAAAAATACTGAATTCTTGTAGATGATCTGACCCACTGGACCACACTGCAATTTCTTTTCTAATCTCTCTTTCAAATGGGAAAAAATTGATCGTCTATTAATTAAAAATTGAGTAACATCGGTATTGCAAAAATTAAAACCGTTTATGGTACAATCAAATATCTCACTATTGATATGTGCATTGATCATATATTGTGGTTTTTGAGCCATACATGCAATATTTTAGTGTACTGATGTTTGATAGAACTGTGGTGTGATATTTTAGTGTACTGGTGTTTGATAGAATTATGGTGCAATATTTCATGCGTATTAATAGAAATCTAGTTTCATGAAATAGAATTTTCCATATATTATTGTTTAGACTATACATGCATTAGTCTTGTCTTAATTATATATGTATGCTTGTTAAGAATTTACATGCATTAGTCTTGTCTCAATTATACATGCATGCTTGTTCAAACTTTACATGCATTAGTCTTGTTTCAATTATACATGCATGCTTGT